GCGACGAAGCATGGTTGCCACCAGCTGTTGGTTCTGTTCCAACTGCTTTCGGTACTGGTCCATCATGGCTTCCTGCTGTCTCTGCTGCTGCTGCATCACTCGCAGCATCTCAACCACCAAACTTTCTCCAACAGCGCCACCACCTGGAGCGGTAACTGGCTGTGAACTCGTCGCTGGCGTTGAGGTCGGAACTCCTTGAGTTCCAAAGGCAGTGAAGGGGTTCGGCTGCTGTTCTACCGGATTCTCACCGGTTCCAAACAGCAAGGCTTCCTCCTCGGGAGTGTTGTCAGGAACTGGGACTTGCTCCAGAGGCAACGCCCCATGCACTGGAGAACCCTGTGGGCTTCCATGCACACTTCCGCCTTGCTCTGGAGTCGCCATGGCGTGGAGGTACTGAACACAGGCGCTGGAGTCACTCTCAGTGCTCCGCTACCATGTGAAAAGCAGAGCTCGCGCAGCAGTCTCTTTTTCACTTCGCACTTGAGCCAAACACCAAAGTGTTCAGCAAGCTTCAGTTCTTGCAGCAAGCTCTCTCCAAGAGCTAAGGGCTCCCAAAAAGCTACGAATTCCATCTCAACTTTGTTCTACAAAGGAGGTAAAGCAAAAGAACAATGCAACTGCTTTGGTCTACACCTCGGGGACTTCAGGTCATCCGAACAGCAAAACAGCGAAGCTTCAGAGTCACTCTGCACCCCATCCTCCACGTCCAACGGCAACGAACGAAGTGGCGGGACACGGAGTGAGTTGCAGCAAGACAGAACCTCAGAGTTCTGACACGCACTTCTTCACTATTGCTCTCAAGCAATTCCAAGTGCTTCAAAACTCATCCTAGGCCATGCCAACAAGACAAAACATGCGTCGCAGTCAACCCAAACTGCTTTAGGGACTTGGGCAAATCCTCTGCAACGGTGGGAAGTTAAGTTATTTTGAGTAACTATGGGAATACGGCATGTGAACTTCTTGCAGAAAAAGACTCGTTCTTGCAGTTCACACTGCGGACTAAAGTTCCCGCTCGGTTTTGCAACATAAAGTTGGTGACAAGCTTCTCATGTGTGAACCTTGTGTTCCGCCGCCGTTGGTGGCACCAAAGTCTTTGGCTGGTTCTGCTGCTTTGGCAACGTCGAATCTTTGGTTTATGTTTTTTGCAGAATGCCTTTCTTTGGGTTCGGCGCGCCGCGCCCACGGCCCTTGTCCACCCACGCAACTGTTCCACTGCACGCGCCGCTTGCCACACACGGTCCCAACTTTTGCCAGCTCCAGCTCCGCAACCCGCAGCAAACCTTCTGCACCGTGCACGGGCCGGTACTAAAACAGCAGCCGTCTGCTTTGTGCTGCCACGCACGCCCGCGTGCCACCAACCTGTCTGTTGACGCATGCTGTGAAAAATTCACCTGTAGTGTTTGCCCAGTTGGTGCATGTGGTGTTTGACTGTACAGAGAGAAGCATGAGAGTTTTTCTGCTGCATGACTTGGCATGAGCATGTTTTGATGGAAAACAAGTCCGTTCTTTGCTTTTAGAATTGGAGCTGTAGGAAAAAGTGGTGGAAGACAATTTTAGCTTCCACACCCCCTCTTTTTTGTTTTTGATTGTTATGTTTCATTTGTCGAGAACCAGACAAGAAGAAGCTTTTGAAAATATAGCTTCCTTTTTGACCATTATTACATAGTTTTGCTTCTTGGAGACCACAGCTGGTTCCGATTATTTGGCGTAAGTGCGAGACCTGGTGGTATGCAAGGACTTCGGAGTGGTGGGCTACCAGACCTGGCTTGTTACTCGGTTTTATGGAATCCGCACGGATGTAAATCGTTTCTGCATAGTAAGCTTCTGCAACGAAATGTTCCCAACCAACCGAATGTTCCCAACAACTGTGTTCTAAGATTGTATTCGCAATGCCGGCGCGATGTTATCCTTCTATTTCGTATTTCGCTCCAGAGAAGCCTTCAAGGTCAACGATGCTCCACAAAGGTGCTCTCCAAGGTCCCTGAAAAGGATCGGAGAAACCTTTGAACCAGATGTTCTACGACCTGGTAAGTCAGTTATCTGCATGTCAGTCCGTCCGTCGGGCCGTCCACCCTTTGGCGCGGCGATTGGTCAGTCAGTCAGTCCGTCGGACGGTCGTTTTCTTTGTAGAGTCTGACATCTTAAATGTGACCTGCTTCTTCAAGCTTGTGGAGCGTAGATGCGAACCATGTGTGCGGGCAAAAAAGCTTTTGAAAGCAGCATTGCTTGCTGTTCAGAAGAATTCAGGCACACTTTTTGCGAATTCAGGCATACTTTTGCTTTGTTATGCAACAAGGGTTAAGTGGTGGCGGGAGGGAGCTGACATGACCCCCGCATGTTCTCCACTTGTCCAGTTGTGGCACGACTCACAAAGCCCAAGCCCACCGGCCTTGAACCCCAAACAGTGTTGTTTTGCCATTGCAAAGCCAAGCCATGTTTATTGCGAAGTACCTCGACCAGAAGCAGGGTGAAGCTCGCAACTTGATTGCACGATGGTGCGGAAGGTGCTGCATGGTTCCGTTCATGGTGCCGTGGAACGCTTCCAAAAGATTTGTTAGGCCATTCCGAAATCCGAGATTCACCCTAATCAGAAGCCCGAAAGCTAGACTCACCCGAATTCCAGAAACTTTCTAAAGTCCCTACATGCTGAGCCCCGGAACTGTTCGGCAAAAATTTTGTTCTGCCCAACATCCCTAAAGGTTTAAGGTTCGAAATTCTGGCGTTTTGGGGCTTTGGGGTTTAGGGTTGACGGTTAAGGCGGGCGGGTTTTGGGTCCACCAAAGTTTGCACGAGGCGTGGTCGACCAACAGCAGGTCATCCGTGAGCGCTTGGAGGCTGCAACCCCTTTTTTGGATTTGGGAGTAGCATGCGCCACTTCGGAGTTTGGTGTGAGAAGTAAGGGGAACAGCAACCGGCTATTAGCCTTGACCCCCTGAACCTCGCAGTGCAGATGGTTGGAAAGGTTTACAATTTGGAGGGTTCAGGGCTTCGAGGGCAAGGCTTCGGATTTTCGTGCTGGGCCCCTTGGACTGAGCCGTGTGCTGAGCGACAATCTTCCTTGAACCCTGAACCCAAAGGTTAGGCTTTCTTCCAGCCTTGAATCATTCGTCATGCATGATTCTTTTGTGGGCCTTGAACCCTAAAAAACCCTACTTAATGTAATAGTTAAAAGCGTAGGCTCCTGCGATCGACAGCTCTCAACGGGCAACAGGGTTTGCACTATTTGTGTGTTTATAGGGGTCGAGGTGTTCTTAGTCAAAAAAACGAAGGCCGGCCTTTCTGAAGCCCAAGCCCTTTGGGCCCCCTCCAGACTAGGCCACGCGCCCCTCAGCCCCAAGCTGCTGACCACCAACCACCAACCCCCCAAACCCAGCACCCGAACCCGAAACCCTAAAGAACACCAAGCCGCAGGCCTTCTTCCAGCAGCGGCCAACAGCTGCTGACCTCGTGGAGCGTGGCGTCTTAGGCGCGTGGGTTCAGGGTTTCGGGGACTTCGAGGGCTTGGGGGGCTCAGGGGTTTTAGGGGATCGGGGCTTAAGGTTGGAGTTGTGCCCAGAAACCCTGCACCCCTGCAAATACCTCAGCCCTACACATCCCTAAGCCTACACATCCTTACTCCTGAACCACCCGAAGCCATAAACACTTAACCCCCCACACCCAAACGAATCCCACCAGAATGCCCAGGGCGGGAGCAGCGCGTGGCTGTGGCGCGGACAGTCGTCGATGAGCTGCTGCCGCTCGCTCTGGGTTTAGGACCTTAGGATTTTTTTAAGGTCTAAGGACAAGACCTGAGAATCCCAAAGAAAGATGGTGTTTTTGTGGAGGTTGACGCTTTGGCCTTCTTGGCTTGGGGGGCTCGGGTTCAGGGCTGCAGAGGCTGCAAGCCTTTCTTTGGCTTCGGAGGGGGCCAAGGACCATTTCGGGAAAACTAGGGTTTAGGGTTAGGGATGTATGGTTTAGGGTATCGGTGGATTGCAAGAGCTGTGCCCCGCTAAGCCCGAAATCCTGAACCTTCGGCCCTAAACCCCAAACTCCGGGGCCTGAGCTAAAGCCCTCGAGCTCTGAGAGTCCGAACACGGGCAACCGGCTTGCTCAGCCCAGGAAAGAGCGCCTGAAGGTGCGCTTGCGGTGACTCTTTTAGGGGTTTGGGGTTTAAGTCTAAGTGGCTTCAGGGTTTAGGGCCTGGGCTTGAGCTTTTCGCCTGAAAGTTTCGGGGCTGCTTTGGGTTGTGGGCTTTGCCCTTACCCGCAACGCTGAATGACTTGGGAATTACCGGCTGGGGTGCTTGTGCGAATTTTGCAGGTTGTCGTTCGGGTTTCTGCTCTTGGGGTTTGAGGGAGAAGTAATATTTGGCTAGCTCCCCTTCGAAAAGCCCAGTTAGAATGGTCAACGTGTTTGCTTTTTCGATTCCCGGAGAACCTTCGAAAGGCAAGGAGGCTATTTCCCGAATTCCCCACCCATTGCTACCCTAAACCTATAAACCCCAAACCCCAGACCCGTATTCTGGCAAGCCGGAGCCCCAAATCCGAGCAGCAACCCGGATGTTTGCGAGACGAAGCGCTGCGTTCACCGCAGCCGCTTTTGGCCGACAGGCTTCAGAACACAACCCCAGACCCCAAACCCCTTGCCACTAGCCGTAGCCCCTCGCTCGCGGCCCCAGACCCCAAGCCTCCGGAGACCTGCATTAACAGAACCCCTGCCTGCCTCGACAAGCCCAAGCCCTGGCCCCTGCAGTAATGAGAGTGATCAGCAAGGGCTTAGTAGGGCTCACAGGTTTGGTAGGGTTCAGGGCTCAGCAGTTTCAAGGCTTAGGAGTCGGGCTTACCAGGTTGATACGGTTTACATTGGGACCCTGATTGTTTCGGACCAGCGCTGAATCCCATAATGCCGTTGAACTCTTAGACCTTTAGCAGTTATGAAGGGAGGGCTCAAGTTTTAAGGGTTTTAGGGACGTTTAGGATGTCGTGCTAGTGGGCTCTTCGCCAACCACTCCCCATCCCATGGCCCACGTCTCTGCCGTGGTGGTGGGCGCGGGCGTTGTCGGCGCAGCTGTTGCTCGAAGCTTGGCCCGGGCTGGGCAGGAGGCGGCTTTTAACAAAAGACCCGAACGACCCTAAGAAATGCTAAGTACCAAACCCCTAAAACTCCCCAAACTTCCGCTTTCAGTAGGGGTCAACTGGGCCAGCAAGGTTTGTGGGTCAGGACGTAACCCCAAAAGCCAACCCAACACCCTCAAACCCAAACCCCCCATATAAGCCCTTACAAGCCTACAACAACAACCACAACGACGACGACGACGGCGACGACGGCGACGACGGCGGCGGCAGCGGCGGCGACGACGACGGCGGCGACGACGACCACGACCGCGACCGCGACCACGACCACGACGACGACGACGACGACAATTACAACGAGTAATAAGAATAATAAGAAGAATAAGAATATGAATAAGAATAAGAATAAGAATAAGAATAAGAATAAGAATAAGAATAAGAATAAGAATAAGAATAAGAATAAGAATAAGAATAAGAATAAGAATAAGAATAAAAGTAATAACAGTAATAGTAATAATCAGATTAATAAGAATATAGTCATTGTTATTATAAATAATAATTGTATAACTAATCGTAGCAACAAGAATAGTAATAGAATAATAATGATACATCTTAATAATTGTACTAGTATAAAAAATAGTAATAACAATAATAAAACGAATAATCGTATTAATACAAAAAATCATTATACTAACAATAATGATAATAGTAATTGTAATGGTAATAGGAATAGTACTAATAATCAAAATAAAAAAGTAATAATCATAATAATAATCATAATAAGAATCATAATAAGAATCATAATAAGAATAAGAATAAGAATAAGAATAAGAATAAGAATAAGAATAAGAGAATAAGAATAACAATACGAGATTTACATACAATCACTGACTCTTCCTATTGTTCCTACGATTCCCATTATTCCTACTGCTACTGCTACTGCTACTCCTGCTGCTACCCCTACTCATAATAATATGACCGCGGTGTCAGGTGCTGGCCGTGGAGCGGCTCAGGCAGCCGGGCCAGGGCACCACCAGCAGAAACAGCCAGGCTCGAAAGGTTTGGGGTTTAGGGTTTTGGTGTTTTGGATTTTGGGGTTTTAGGGTTTTGGGCTTCGGGTATGACCTCAACTGTACGGCCGACTAGCGCGCCGCAAGGCCCATCCCTGCACCCATAAAAACCCTGAAAACTCGAGATCTTGGATCCGAAGCCCTAAAACTCTAACACCTCACGCCCAAAGTGCCAGGTGATCCATGCTGGACTCTACTATCCCGAAGGCAGCCTCAAGGCCGAACCAGGAGGGCCGTGAAGGCGTTTACAGCGGATTGTTCGAGTTTCGGTGGCTAGGGCCTGGAGACTTTGGGGGAGGATATAGGGTTATATAAGGGTTTCGGGTAGCACTTGGCAGGCTCGTGGCTAGAGCGAAGTAGGGCAATCTATGAGTACTTCAAAAACAAGCGAACCGATTATAACCAATCATAGTTGGTTACCCGATTTCTAAATTTCACCCCCGTGACAAGTACCCCACGCACCTCCAAGTATTTAGAGATTCAGGGGGATCGAGGCTTCGGGCTTCAAAGATTCGCCCAGTCAAGCGGTTGCTGGGCCCCGGGCAGAGCCCTACTTGCGGGCCCCCTCCCCCCCAGGCGCGCTTCTGTGCTGCCAGCGCCGCGCGCCTCTACAAGTTCGCAGAGAGCCGCCACATCCCACACTGGACACCCCCGGGGCATTGTTGGGAAGGGCACATCCTAGTCCTACACCCTCAACCTTAAACCTGGACCCCTAGACCAATCCCAACCCTCCACGGAAGACCCCTCTATTCAAAGGATCGAACTAAGAGCCTGCGAGGAACTGCCAGAAGTTGGTGGTGGCCGCCGAGGGGCACCCTGTCCCACAAGGGAAGTTGGGGGTTGCAAACCCTATGCCCACAAACCTTTAGACAACCAAGAACCTTTAGACCCTAAACCCTAAACCTTTCGGTTTCGGATTGGAAGTTTCATTGGTGCAGTTTCCATCTCGACCTCATCTCGGCCTCATCTCGGCCTCTAAAGGTCTGCGCGGGCCTTGACGCGCAAAACCCAAAACCCTTCAAAGGTATACAGCCCAAAGCCCAGAATGGCCCCGGGATCCTACCCAAGTTTTGCTGACACGTCGAAGATACATCGCAAAAGCCCCGAGGCCCTCAGCCCCAAAACCCTGAGACCCCAAAACCCTAGACCTTAAAACCCTCCGAAGCCCTGAGACCCTAAGCCCCCCCTAACCCTAAAGCTGGCCAGGCAGGAGGAGCGCCTGCGCAGCGTCGCAGAGCACGCTCAAAGCATCGGCTGCCTGCAGAAGGAGAAGATGCGCCTCCTGTCCAGACGCTTGGTGAGCCAGCCCCGAATTCGAGGGCCCCAGTGTTTCAGCATCAACATTTGCTGGTTTGGGAAGAAGTGGCTGGGTTAAGCGTGCAGGGTTGAATAAAGGGCTAAGCCCTCGGCCCCGAACCCTGAACCCGTAGGATCGGGTTCAGACTGTATCGGGTTTAGATTGGGACTGGCTCTGCCATCCTTTGCATGTCGCCCCCTTGCCCCCCCACCGCGCCCAGCGCGCCCTTTTCAGGGTTCCACATAGCATCATGTAGTACATGCAGTCTTCTGTACTTGGAGGTTCAGGTATTTGTAAGATTTATAGGTAGGGTTCTAAGTATGGTAACTATAGTTGTAAACGTATTTAGGGTACGTCTAAGTCAAAGTACGTGCATCTTAGTGCCAGGGAGGAGACAGGGGAAAGAAGCTGCCGCTGATCGCCTGCCCCCGTATATAGACCACCTCACAGAACAAGCAAGGCCCTGCTTCCTGCCCACTGTCAATCAACCAAGCTTGCCAGTTCCAATGCCCTTAACTTGTGATGCGTGAGCTCTGAAGAACGCTACATGTAAGTCGGGACGGTTTGCCTAAGGGTTACAGCGCCCTAAGCCAGTGGAACAGGGAACAGGGGGTGGGAGCGGTGGAAGATTTTAAGGTCCAGGGTTTTGAGTTCTTCTTTGGGTGGGTTTCTCAGGGCTTCTTGGCATTTTGTGGGCTATGTTTGCGAATTTCGGGGTTCGTTGAAGGTAACCCTAGAAAGGAGAGGACCTGAAGATTCTGGAGCCGGATCTCGTGGCGTCCGCCGCCCTCCTGTCCCCAGGGACGCTGGGTTCGGGGCCCTAAACCCTCGGCCTCAAATCCTAAACCCCAAACCCCAACCCTAAAACCCGAAACCCCTAAATTGAACCCTAAGTTCCCGTTTAGGGCACCGGTGGTCTTTGTGGGCCTTTTGTGTTTATCTTGGTCCGGGGATTCAGGACCCCAAGCCTAGGCTGCCTAAGCATACGATGAGTTTTTTTTGGTTAAGAGCCTTCAAGAATGGTAGGGTTTCAGGTTCTTGAGGGGGGCTTTGGAGGTTTTGGAGAGTCCACAGACCTCTATGTCCATGGTTTGGCCGTCATGACCTTCCGCTGAACCACGAAGACTGCGGCTTAGGGCTTATGGCCGTTTAGAATGTCGGGTCCAAAGCCCCTGACAACTTCCCAACATCGGGTTCTCAAGGACCGGGGTCATCTGTGCCCACTCCGTGGTGTCGGCGCTCGTGGCGGAAGCGGAGGATGCTGGCGCCAGCTTCAGCTTTGGAAGCGATGCGGATGTTGGGCCGCAGCAGTGGAGTTGATCTTTGCCAGGGCTCAAGCTTTAGAAGGGTTCAGGCTGTAGGCTGCCGGGTTTAAGGTTGAGGTTTAGGGAAGCTAAAGCCTTACAGTCATTGTTCCAGTAAAGGAAAGAAGAGAGCATTATTGGTAGCGCACACCTCCTTTTCAGGTTCATCTTAAAACTCTTGAGACCTGTACTTGGAGCCTGAGTCTTGGGTTTGGCTTCCCTAGGATCCCGAGACCATTGACTTCCGCGTGTCCTTATGTCGAGTCTTCATGGCCTTCAGTTCGACACCGCCCTTAAATCCTTTGTTTCGAGCGCTGGTTTTGGCTCAAGCGCACGATGCCAGGCAAGTGCTTCTGCACTTATCGTACAGCTTAAACGGTTTTTGCTTTTGCGACTAAAGCTACCGACAGGGACTGTTACACTTCGTTACGCTTCGTCAGGCTGATGTAAATGAGAAACTGGCAAGGACGGGGATCTTGAAGATGGTTGTGTTTTCACACTCTTAAGAAACAGCAAAAAACTTGCCAGGGCCCCAAGCACAGGTTCGGAAACTGTTCAATCAGCTTGGCAGATTTTTAAATCTCCCAACAAAGGAAAGCGTGCGTTGGGATGGCAGCGTCTTCACGCTGACTTTCTCCGACGGCTTCCAAGTCACCTGTGACAAGCTGGTCAACGCGGGGGGGCCCCCGTGGCAATGCAAGGATAGGGTTCCACGATGTTCCAAGATCAGAGTTTAGGGCTTATGGTTCAGGATCGGATTCACAAGGGCTAGCGTAGGTAAGTTTTAGGGTGGGTGCAGCCCTAAAACCCCACATGCCCAAGAACAAGAGACCCCGCGCCCTAAAGTCCCAGCTTGTTTGGCCCCCGAAGCCCTCAAAGCTCTTATGTTGCAATTGAAAACGCCCCAAGCCCAAAACCCATCATGAATCCCTAAACCCTAACCCCCCGAATTCAATGCTTTAAGCCTACTATAGAGGTGACACCCTCAACTCGCCAACATCCCGATACCCAAAAACTCCGAAAATTCCCTACACCCTAAACACCCTAAACTCCCTAAACCCTGCTTACTTAGCCACGGTTGAGCTTGTATTTTCTTGGGTTCCTTTTTTAGTAGGAATAATAGAGTTTAACATTTTCCCCGTAGTTATTGGAGAAGTAAGCCTGTCTCATCTATGAGCCCTAAGCTGTCAAAAGCTGTTAACATCTCGATTCGAAAAGGCCCTTCAAAGAAGAAACAGCCCAAGCCACCTGCAGGCTTCATGCCGGCCAGCTCGCTCAGACCTTCGTACCCCCTGGCTTGGTTCCTGAGTCACCGGGCCTCTGTGGGGTTTTGGGGGGGTTTTATGGGGTTTTGGAGTCTTGTTCGTAAAAAGTAGTTTAGGTTTTCAGGTTGGGTTTGAGGGTTGTTTGAGGGTTTAAGGAAAGCCCAGAACGTCTGTGTGATAGTCCGGGGTTCCGGGTTCGGGGTTCTCGAGGTCCTACGCAGCATCTTGGAACCCTACGTGCTGAGACCCAAAAACGTTTCCTAGGGCCTATCCTGTTAAGCCCCCGTAGACCCTCTTGGAAAGCTCAGAGGGGGTGGGATGAGGCACGCACTGTTGCTTGTTGTTAGGGTTTTTGGCGTAAGGCTGATCAGGCTGATGGGCTGGGTGTGTAGCTGGCTCCCCTCCAGCACAGAACCCGATTCCTACACCTAAGAGCCTAGTAGCCTTAATTCGATCCCAGAAAGGTTCCGATTCTGCAAGGGCAACTACTTCAGACCCAGCGTGCCGGTGCCGCGCCTTGGCTTGGAAAGGACATGTGGTCATCCTTCACCCCTCAGCCCGTGTAAGGGTTTTGAGGTTCAAAGCGTTCAACCCTTCGGAACTCTAAATTCCAATAGTCCAAGCACCCGATAACCCTAAGCCCTCTAGCCCAAATATTCCTGAAGCCCTATAAAACGCAGGTTCAAGAGGCTCATCTATCCGCTCCCCCCACCCTCGGGCGCTGGCCTGGGCACCCACCTCACCTTGGACGTGGAGGACCTTGAGGGCTCGGGGGTTGGGGGCAGCGCCTGAACCCCAAAGGCATCCAAAGGCCCCAAGCTCTAACTTGCCCTCAACCCTACATCCGGGTTTCGGGTCTAAGGTTTAGGGTTAATGGCCTAAGCCGAGAGGGTGGTGGCGCGAAGTTCGGCCCCGACACCGAGTGGCTGCCGGCGGACTACCAGCCGGTGAAGGACACGGGAGCTGGGCCCCAGAACCCCAGGGTGTTGGGGTGTTAGCGCGTTTTGGGGCCTAAACCCTAAGCCCTGCACTACATGCTGAGAGAAGGACATGGATGGCTCGGGCGTGTACCGCGTGGACGCCTCCCGTGCTGCGTCCTTCGAGGCCCAAGGTTTGTAGGTTGGGGAAGGCTTCTCGGGTTTGGGGTTGAGGGTTTAGGTTTCAGGCAGTTGGGGGGCTGGGTACAGGTTTTTCTGTTGCTGGGGGGGAGCGGGGTCCGCAAAAACACTGCAAATTAGAGTATATACAGCCCGTCGACCGCCGAGGTGTCGAGTCAGACCTGGGAAAAAGAAACAGGAGAGCCTGACCTAAGAAAAAAAAACACCTCCGCCGGGGGGGGGAGGGAGGCCTGGACTCTTTCATGTGTCCATGATCAAGCGTAAAGTAAGGCCACCATGGTCAAAACCCCAATCTCTAACTCCCCGGAGGCCCGAAGGGCCTACATACTCCCTGGTGCGCTGCCTAGTTCCCTAGTTCCTTACGAAGAATTAAGCCCTTCAAGTCCTAAACCCAAAGCCCGCAAAAGGCCCCTAAACCCTGAACCCTCAACCCTAAACGCTAAACCCTGAACCCTCCAAAAAAAGGACTCCATCCAGAGCTGGTGGCCCAGCCTTCCTTCGGGGAGCCTCGAGCCCGACTACTCGGGGCTCCGGGTCAAGGCGGGCTGGGCTTGAAAGGTTTCGGGGTTTTTGGGTTTCTTGGGGGTTTCTTAGGGGTTTGCTCGAGGTTTTTGAGAGGTTTCTTAGTTGTTTCTGAAGGGTTTCAGAGGGGTTTCTCACAAGTTTCTTGCCCCACAAGCCACACGAAGCCCCAAAGCCCTCGACGCAAAGGTTCCCAGCGGTGACTTCGAGATCACCAACCACGGGATGGAGGGATACTGGGCTCAGTCCCGTTGTAGGGGGAGGGCCTGACAAGGTTTGGGGCAGGCTTGAGTAGGGATGAGCTAGTTGTTCTCGTTTCTGACAGGCCTGAGCCGAACATGCTATCAACCAACCCGTCAACCTCCGCGCATGAAGCCCTAGCTGAAGCACTGGAGCCCAGGATACTGTGGCTTGCGCCTTCGCTGCTTTAGGGTCGTGGGTTCGCGGGTTGCTTACTCTTGACTTGAGAGCTCCCTAGCTCTCTTTTTCTCTGTCTCTTGCTTTCTTGCTTTCTTGCTTTCTTGCTTTCTTGCTTTCTTGCTTTCTTGCTTTCTTGCTTTCTTGCTTTCTTGCTTTCTTGCTTTCTTGCTTTCTTGCTTTCTTGCTTTCTTGCTTTCTTGCTTTCTTGCTTTCTTGCTTTCTTGCTTTCTTGCTTTCTTTCTTTCCTTCTTTCTCTTTCCTTCTTTTTCTTTCTTTCATTCTTTTTCTTTCTTTCCTTCTTTTTCTTTCTTTCCTTCTTTTTCTTTCTTTCTTTCTTTCTTTCTTTCTTTCCTTCGCTCCCTCTTTCTCTCTCGTCTCTGTCACGTAACCCCTTGGGCCGTGAAGCCTGAGAAGGTATGGCATCGAGTCGCCTGGCCTCACGAGTTCCCTGATGATCGCGGAGCAAGTGCTGAGGGTGCTGGGCGTACCAATCCCGGCAGAAGACTTCTGAAAAAGTGTTTTCTGGTCCTGCTGGAGCTTTGCATCTGACTCGAATGCAGATTCTGGTTGGCCTTCGGGGAAGCTGGGCGGGGAAGCTAGGCTTTGGTCGAGGTGGAGGTTTAAGGATGACTGGGGCCTTCACGAGAGGTGTGCCCGAAATCACCAACGTCGGGCGCATGGTGAAGACATTGCCATCCGCGCAAGAAGCCTGAGGATTCACCCCTGCAACCTAAATTATGAACTCTGAACCTCTATGCCCTAAACCTTAAACCCGACCCTAAAGCCTCTTCTCTAAACTCCCAACTCTTAAATCCTGCCGCTCCTCTGCCCACAGGCGCAGGAGGACGAACTGGCCAGGGCTCCCAGTGCTCCTTTCTTTGCGGAGGTCTTCGGGTTTTAGATTGGGGGTTCGGAGGTTTGGGGGTTTAGGGGTTTGGGGGTTTAGGGGTTTGGGGGTTTAGGGTTGCTTCGGGTTGCTTCGGGTTGCTTCGGGCCTGGGGTCTCGGCGTGGAGGGCATCACCAGCTTTCTTCCTGTACTGTTGGGAAGCCCTACACACGATGCTATTGCTCAATTGGGGGTTGGTGATCACGGCTGATCTCAATTATGGGCCCTTATCCCATTGAATATGGTCTTCTCTGCGCAGGGCCGAAAGGGCGCAAAAATTTGATTCCCTCGACCCAAAAGACTTCTGCACCGCTTGCCTACGAGCCCTGTGAACCCAAGGGCCCCTAAATCCATCTGAGAGTTTCAGAACCCCGAACCTCCAAGACCCCTGAAAAATCTGAGGCGCTCAAAGTCTACCTTAAGGCCAGGGTTTACGGGACTCGACCCTGAACCCCTATCCAAGGAGCGGCCGCCGCCAGGCACTCGAGTCTTCAGCGACGGCCTTCAGAAGCTTCTTGAAGGGGAGGCGGCGATGCTTTTTCTGTCCGGGGTCGGGGTTTGCAACCGCAAAAACCTAGAAGCCAAACACTTGGGTTTGGGGAAATTGCCCCAACCCTACGTAGCCCCAGCAGCAAGAAACCTAACCCTAAAAACCCAACACCCCGCAAAGCCCCAAGTAGTCCTCAAGTGCGTGAGCCACGCACAAAACCCCCAAACCCCAAACAAACTAAACCCAAAACCCTGACCCCAACCCAAACCCGAAAGCCCTAAAACACTGAACCCAAAACCCCGAAACCCCAAAGCCAAAGCCACAAAGCCACAAAGCCACAAAGCCACAAAACACAAGACTCCAAAACCCCCTCATCTTGAGCCCAAGCCCCTAAACCCTCACTGCCATGATCCATTATCGTACCCCCTAGTATAATCCCTAAACAGGACTGGGGAACATCCCAACGAATAGCCCCCTAGTAGGCCGTAAGCCCTAAGCCCTAAACCCTAAACCCTAAGCCCTCAGCCCTAAGCTCTAAACCCTAAACCCTAAACCCTAAACCCTAAACCCTAAACCCTAAACCTTAAACCCTAAACCCTAAACCCTAAACCCTAAACCCTAAACCCTAAACCCTAAACCCTAAACCCTAAACCCTAAACCCTAAACCCCAAACCCTAAACCCTAAACCCTAAACCTGTTTGTTCCTTCCTATGCCTCCGCAGAGGCCTCCACAGCCTTGCTGGAAACCTTGAAGCGCCAGCGGGAGGCGGTGAAGAAGGAGAGCGTTGGCCTGGGGGATTGGAGTTTAGGGTTTGGGGTCTGGGGTTTAGGGTTTAGGGTTTGGGGTTTAGGGTAAAACTCGGTTGAGAGTTGAAGAGTGTAGCGTTGAGTTCAGGCTTCGGAGCTTGGCGTTGCGAGTTCAGATAGGTTTGACATGTAGGGTTGACCAGAATTTAGGATGGCTCTCCACGAAGTGCGGCTTTTCGTGTTTTGGGGGGGGGGGGGGTACCACCCACCCCCCGGAACGGAGGGGGGGGGGGGGGGGGGGGGGGGGGGGGGGGGGGGGGGGGGGGGGGGGGGGGGGGGTGGGTCGGAACTGTAAGTTTCGAAAACGGGCGACAGTTGAGAGCTGCGAGGTTTGGAGCTTTGGGGTTTTGTCAGCAGGATGCAGGCCTAAGGGTCTTCTCAGGGTCATAGATGATTTTGGGCGTGGACATGATTTGCTGCATCGCATAGCGACGAAACTTCCACAACAGCTCTAAACCCCAAACCCCAAAGTCCTACACTCCAATGCACTTGTGAAACTGCCCCGGATTTGACTTCGAGGACCTTGATGCTGCCGCCGTCCGCTGGGGCCAGGCGCGCCGCCACGTAGGGGGGGAAGCGACTTTCGTCGGACTTTATATGGTTTAACGTCTCGTGAGCCCTCCTCTGTTCACCCATGAACCTTCAACCCACTCGTTAGCACACATACTATTCGCCAGTATCCCATCAAGTATTTCGGGTTTAGGCAATATATGAACTGTTCTCGTGTTCGTTTTTGGCATAGAAGATTCTTCGGCGCTGAGACTGAATGACGACGTTCAAACATAACTTATGCAGTTTTTAGGTCCTGAACCCCAAGCCCAAACCCTGAACCCCAAGCCCAAACCCGAAATCCTAAAGCGCAAGCTTCATGCCCTAAACCCTAAACTCCACGCGAGGTTTTTTTCGCCTTATTGTAGGGGAGTCCCAACTCCCTGGGTTCGGGGTTGATGGGTACCCTAAACCCCCCAAACAGGCGGCGGAAGCTCGCCTGAGGACTCTCCGGATGCCGAAGAGCTTGAAGCCCAGAGCTGTAGCTTTGGGGCCTATAAGCTTTGCAGGGTGCGTTTTTCCCTGTGCCAGCGAGTTATGGAAGCAGTAACAGGTGTTAGAAGTAGGATGACCTTTACGAGTGAAGCGGACCCTGTAACAAGCGACTTGTTTGGTGTTGTCGAATTCCTGTATGTTCGCATTCTCTGGTCTTCCCGTGCCCCAAACCTTACACCTTAAACCTTATCTCTCAACCCTCAGACCTTAAACCTTATCCTTCAACCTTAAGACCCAAAACCCTACGCCCTAAGCCCTAAGCCCCTAAGACCCTATACCCTACGACCCGAAACCCCAAACCCTCAACCCTAAGCCCTAAGCCCTAAGCCCCATCTGGGCCCTAAGCCTGCGCACCCGGACAGGAGTGCCCTGGCGGAGCCCCTTCCCAGCTTTCCTGGGCGTCTCGCGTCAGCAGCGGCGCTGTTAGAGGAGCTCTACTAGGCTTGGTTTAGGGAGGGTATGTTTAGGGTTTAGGGTTTAGGGTTTAGGGAGGGGATGTGTAGGGTTTATGGAGGGGATGTTTAGGGGATGTTTAGGGTTCAGGGCTTTTGTTTTGGGGCTTAGGGTTTAGGATTTTTAGGGTTTGGGGTTTAGGGTCTAGGGGTGTGTAGCGCACGTTTGAGGCTGCTTGTGTTGGACGTTTTTGTTAAGTTTCTTGTTTCTGCTTGCGTCTCAGCTGGATATTTTGGAGCGAAGAGCCCATGTTTGGTCTTTCTTTCTTCTACGGGTTCAGGGTTGAGTATACTTGGAACTTCTGAGTCGGACTTCAAGGTTTGTCTGTTGTTTCCTTGGGTTCCTGTGGTTGCGTGGACATTGCTGCTCGATTTCTGCAGCTTTTTTTTGCATCGGCGGCTACACATGAATCCTGCCTGCCGTGTGCATCCGACGGAGTCCTTTCAAGCTTGAGGCCCCCAACCGAAAACCCAAAACCCCCGAGCCCCCTAAACCCCCAAACGCCCGAAACCCAAAAGCCCAAAAGCCCTAAGCATGACGTCGACGTCATTGCACCACTCTGAAGCTCTGCCCCTCTTTGCTTTCCACACTCCTTATGTGGTTCCCGCAATTTAGAAGCTCAGCGCGACCCTAAATCCTCCGAAGCCTCCTAAACCCTAAACCCTAAAACCCAAACCCCCTACTTCCTCAAATCCTCCGCCCTAAACACCCTAAACCCCCGCAACCCACAAACCCCCAACATCCCCTAAATCCCCTAAACCCTCTAAACCCCCAAACCCCCTACACCCTCTACACCACTCAAACCCCCTAAACCCTAAAACCCTACGCCCCAACTCCCGCGGAGGAGCACCGGGCCGCTACCGGGGGCGCCCTCAAAGGCGGACCAAGCTTAAAGGTCCAGTGTTTAGGGAATTTAGGGTTTAGGGTTTAGGGTTTTTTGGGGCTTCGGGTTTAGGGTTTGGGTGTGGGGTGTAGGGCTTCGGGTTTAGGGTTTCGGGTTTCGGGTTTAGGGTTTGGGGTTTAGGGTTTGGGGTTTAGGGTGCATATAGGGTTAGGGTTAGGGCTTAGGGCTTAGGGCTGAGGGCACCGGGGCTCAGGGCTTAGGGCTTAGGGCTTTGGCACTCTTTCGGATCTGCCGTTTAGGGGTTCAGAGGTTATGTGGGGAGAGAGGGGGGGTTGCTCCGACCCATCGACCCTTTGAGCTGTCTGTTGCAGGTAGATTCCTTGTAGTCTTGGGTACCAGAAAATGCCCACAGTCTATATCTTCCCCCATGTCAAGTTGAGGATCATGGGGCACGAGGGTTTGACATGAGGGTTTAGGACGAGAGCCCATAGCCATGGTTGTTGTTTGGCGACGGGTGTCAGCCCTCCGCACTTGGCTCAGACCACGAGCGACTATCCAAAGCGACCAAGCCATTGTCAATTCAAAGCTTGCCGTGGCGATGCAGATCTTCGTGAAGACGCTGACCGGCAAGACCATCACCTTGGATGTTGAGGCCTCAGACACGATCGACAACGTGAAGGCGAAGATCCAAGATAAGGAGGGAATCCCTCCCGATCAGCAGCGCCTGATCTTCGCAGGCAAGCAGTTGGAAGACGGCCGCACGCTGTCAGACTACAACATCCAAAAGGAGTCGACTCTTCACCTGGTGCTGCGATTGCGCGGCGGCATGCAGATCTTCGTGAAGACGCTGACCGGCAAGACCATCACCTTGGATGTTGAGGCCTCAGACACGATCGACAACGTGAAGGCGAAGATCCAAGATAAGGAGGGAATCCCTCCCGATCAGCAGCGCCTGATCTTCGCAGGCAAGCAGTTGGAAGACGGCC